ATGAGATATGAACTGTCGTGGACGAGGTTCGTTTGCGTTTTGGGTACGACAGTTAGGTATGACATTCATACATACATATACATATATATATACATATATATATCTATATATATACCTATGTATATATGTATATATGTAGGTATGTGTTGAACGTAAGAACCCAAGCAGCCAAGCAATGAGTGTTGAAGAGTTGGTGTTAATGTTTGGAGCTTTTTTTTGCTGATTTTTAATCAGTTTTCTTTTGTTTTTTATATTTTTTTTAATTATTTTTCTGCATATTCATTAAAAAATGAAAAAAAATATCAATTTTGGTATACACATACCTATGTATGTACATACATACATATGTACCTACATTTGTATTTATATCATATGGGCATATATGTATGTATGTATGAAAATGATGTCATACAAAGGCCTACGCAAAAAAAAAAGCTAACAAAAACCAAATGACCAAATGTCGCAATTTTTTCACAAATGTCTGTGAGTATATGTATGTGTTTGCATACATACATACATAAACATATGTACTAAACATTTATGCATAATATACAGATACTTACAAATATATATATGTATATGTTTATGTATCATTCACATAACGCATTGACATCAAAACGTAAATATGTATGTATATATATATATACATATTTACACATAAACTGCTCTCGCCAGCAAATTTTGGTGTTATCTGCACTTGCATAATTCTTTACATTTCGCTGTTCTGTTTTTTATATTTTTTTGTTGTTTTTTTTTTTTTTTGTAAAAATTATAGTACAAAGGTCAAGCGTTAAAAATAAAATCTCTTCTTCACTTTTTGCAGCTAAAAGCATTATTATATATATATATAAAATTGGTACTTTTTAAGCGTTGAATATCGATTTTCGGCCGAGGTTCTCCTCAAATTTGTGCTGTGCGTCTTGATGTCTTTCAAACAAATGGATTGACCTACAGTTTATACATACTTGATTTCGAACGGCCGATGGATTTTTTGAGGAGCTTTAAATGCATGTCAAAAATTCACTCGAAGGGCTTAACATTCCCTGCCGAGAGTCGACCGCAATTAGGACCAGAACTCGTCCGTCCCGAATGGCCTATTGTGGCCGCCATGCTCTTAAATAAAAGAAAGAAAAAGTCATCTTTGGACATTAGTTCGCTTCAGAACATCAGGGGACGAACTATTATTAAATAATTACACAATTCGACAAAATAATGACCATCCCTGATCGGTTAAGAGTTTAGGTATTTACCGACAGAATTACGAACAAAGGCCAAACTCTACAAGTCGCTCATCATTTTCGTCATTTGCGGATTAACTATGCCAACAGCGAATGAAGCGACTACGTGGCTAGATCTTATGATCCGAATGCATGAGAGCACTACAGCTTTGAAAGTTTTTCAATGCGAAAACCCACGGGTGGAAGCAGAGAAAGAGAAAAACCTCTACTACGTTCGAAAGATCAGATGGGATCTACTTTGGATCTACAAATTCTTTACCGAATGCACCTAGAAGTCTACAACTTTCACTATAGAACAAGTGGAAAAATTCCACAAATATATAAATAAGCACAGCTTGGTGCAGCTTTGTGTTACGTAGTGTGCCTGGTAACACTATGGACGTAATATTGTCTATGTGAGACCCAAAGGCACAGCCAGTTTAGCCTAACCTATCACTTATCTTCCTCTCCAAAAAATAGTCAAACATATTCAAATCGCAGCTGCGAACTGGCCTGTTGTTATTGCCATTTCGGCTAATCTTGCGATTTCGAGCACAAAACCTAGATTGTAACCTTGACTGTGTGGCACGTAGCGTCGCCCTATTGAGCCTATATACACATCCTACATGCCGTTTTCTTCAACTTTTGAAAACAACTAATCACTGAGCATAGCATGCTAGCGACTTGCATTGTCCGTAACGGCGGCTCCTTTCGCGTTCTCGAATTACAACATACTAATGCTGCCGCCGATCCACATGCCGCAACCAACTCGTTGAGGATGCTTTGGCTTTTTCATGGTTACTTGTAGTTCTTCTGAGCCCCAAAATGCGGTTGTTAGGGTTGCGGCCGAGGTGAAAATGAGCTTCGCCGGAAAGATGATTTTTGGGTAAAAATGCCCATCGCCTTTCAAACTGTCTACAGTCCGTTGAGCGAAGTAAAATAGCAACTGCTGGTCGTTCAGTTCCTCATGAGGCCAATTGAATTTCGTACCATAAAGCAGTGCGTCATACGTTTAAAGCTCGGGAATGATGTCGAATTGGCGTTAATGGCTGTTCGAGCATACTATGAGTTGCAGCACTCGGCGACCACATATGCGATTAGGTTTGTCCAATAATGAGCCTGCTTGGCGTACTCGCTACAAAAATGTATTTACAAACTGCCTGTAAGAAGAGCTATGTGGAACAATGAGTTGTGTCCGCCCACCTGAAATTTGTTCCACCTTTACTTTACGTACGTTTCAAATTACCGTAAAATAGTTAAGGTGGTCATGATCTTGCATCGATTGCAACCTTTAAAGCAATATCTCCATCTTTACTTAAGCTACCTCGTACCATGTATGATTGGCTTGTTCTTCCTGTTCCTCGTACCTCCCTAGATGTTGTTGTTGTAGCGGTTCGCTAGCCTAACTTAGGAGCATCTTCGATCAGCCTAAGTCAACGAGGTCATCTAACAGGTAGTCCACGAAACGAGCTGTTTCGACGGGTGATTAGCGTCGGGCGTGGACTATTTTCATGCAGTACATACTTTAGGTATGCCGGAGTCGAGTCTGAATAGGAAGAAGTTTACTCTACTACAATATTCAGATCTAAATTGCGCCAATGTTACAGGATTATCAAGGTAGCTCGAGCTCTTCGTCTGAAATTGGCAGTGGTCTGACTTCGGGATCGCCTTTCACTGGAAGAGAATTCCGGAAGATGTTAACGGGCTGTCGGTGAATGGCGGTTAATGCCTGAAGATAAATGGTTGTTGTTGTTGTTGTAGGTGGTGCTGAATTCAGTCCTTAAGGCCGAGTACTGCCAGCAGAAATTGCACAACAAGCAGCATAACTGCTACGCTGTGCACAGTCCTGAGGGTCACAACTCATCGGAGTTGATTCGGATTTTATCAGGCCAAAAGCTGGCATCTTTCGGCGACCTAAGCTCGTTTAGATCAACAGATGCTTAAGCCATTTAGTGCGTTATATGAAATCTCCGTGGCAACGATGTTAAGCCGCACTAAGTACTGGACACAGGCAGTCTCTACCGTCATTAGAGATGTTGCAGGAGTCAATGGATCAAAATCAAATATTTATTTCCGCGGCTAGAAATTACAAAAAAAAAAATTCCAAAACATGTTTGGATGACTGGAATCCGATTAAATATGTACATATATATATAAAACCTACGGATAATTAAAGTTTTCGGATATAAGAGCTCGGTTGATGCATTGATAGGTTTGGATTTGAATATATTCTAAAAAAAATGGAGCAAAATTACTTTGAATGGTATATAATCCATGAACCGGACAGTTGAGAAAATGAAACTAATTCACCACTTTCAATACTATTATACCCAGTCTTGGGGAAATTGGAGTTCATATAAAGAAAAACCGTTGTTTTCTTGTCTTTTTTCCATTCTAAATTCTGCTAAAATTTCCTTTCACAAAAAAAATTAAGAAATTTGCTTGCCATTAAAACTCAAAATCTCTCTCTTCAATCAACATCATCTTCGCAATTGCCTTCGACTGTCTCACAATATTTCACACACACACACACACACACACATACCCGGTATGTATGAATGTTACAAAACTGTGACAGCCGGAATAAAACTTTCTAAAGTAAAAAAAAAAACAAAACACAAACAGTTTGTATGATTATTATAAGTTTATTAAGTTTTCAATTATTGATAACTAAAAAAAAATTAATGTATATTTTAGCATTGAAAAAATGTTGGTATAATTAAATCGAAACTTAATTGTTTACACATATACTAGTGTTTATCTAGTACGCTAGAGGGTTATGTACATACATATGCAGCTGTTATATAAATATAATATATGCTAGGGGTTGAAGTGACCCTTTTTTATAGAGTGAAGCGCTTTGCTTTTTGAAATGCGCACATTTGCACTACAGACATATATATCGTTAACACACAAAGGAGGGAGTTTCGTCTTTCTGAATTGCAACCACCAGGATACAAACAACATCCCATAGCATATGCTTTATATATATATATATATGTACATACATATGTAAAAAACACGTTTTCGATTATTCATATAAACGCATGCAACAACCGTAATTACAGCTGGCAGTCAGATAATTCATTGAAAGCGACATCACGCCATTTGTTCAAAAGTTGTTGCATTTGTTTTTTGTCTTTTTTAAGTATTTTTTTCACTTCTCTTTTTTTTTTTTTGCTTTGACAAACTTAAAATTAATATTGGAAAGTATTCAATTGCTTATACATACATACATACATATAAGCAAATAAATCCATCAATTGAGCATGGGATTAAATTCTAGAAAATATATTAAAACTAAATTATGCATTACAAAAGCCGACGACTTTACGCTGCAATCAATCCAGTAGCGGTTGATTGGCGAAGCTACAAAGTAAAGTAAAGTAAACTAAGATTATGACAAACTTAAGTATATCCTTTTATTTTAATGAGTATAATATAAATGGTATGCATTGTAAGTGTGTTGTTGTAGTATATTCGTGTGCAATCTAGCACTGATTGTTGAATTTTTTTTTTTGTTTTATTTTTTTGTTTTCATTAACTCAAAAGAAATGAGTAGCACAATGAGAAAATTCAAAATATTTATGTAGCGTATGTATATTTGTTCATGGAATATCGTTGGCACTAAAGCAAATTTTTTATGTAAAATTATATAATATCAGCAAGCAAATGTTTTGGGTTTTTAAATTAATGATGAAATATAGCAAAAGTAATATGTAGCAAAAATCGCACTCCCAAATTGGCTTTTGCGGGGTTTTTTTTTGGTTTTTTTTTTTTTTTTTTTTTTTTTTTTTTTTTTTCAATAAGCATATCACGTTTTACAAGAAAAGTTCATACTTGTTTAGGCTCAACAATAGTTTCTACATTCTTGAAGGTTCATTAAAAAGTTATTTGTTAACAGTTTAGGCGAGGTCTTTTAGTTGATTTCATTTTGTGTTTACGACATTACTGTACTTGTATACTCGTTAAAAAATAAGATAATGCCTTTTATATAATATGATAATCGTACCTAAGTTCTGTTACGTATAAATATATATTTGAGAATTCTATATAGTTGGTATAGCTAACGCTGCCTTAGATAATGCTACATATATATATATATCTAGGGGTTTTTCTTATTTCTAGTTAACCATTATAAAAGTGTAAAATAATATTCTGCGATATATCTATATATAGATATCTATATATATACGAGTATATATATATATATATGTGTATATATATATATATTTTTTTCCATTTGAAATGTGCAAGTCTTTAAATTTCCGTTTTTTGTCCCAACACAGTGAAATAACTCGTTATTTTACGCTCATTCTTTGCATTTTTGCTTAACGGTGCTGAGACACCTGCCAACAATGCGGTGGCATTTTCTTTTTCTGGCGTTGGTTCAACCCCCATATCACCAATATCCTTTTGCACTTGCATGGACACAGTTACAGACACCTGTTGCATAGCCAACGATTGTGAGTGTTGTGCTTTTTGGGCGGCTAAATCATCAACTGCCTTTAACACTGGCGACATTCGTGGTGTCGATTTGCCACACTTTTGCTTTTTCACTTCAGCTGATTTTATTTTGCTCGTTGTTGTTGTTGTTGCAGCATTAGTTGCCGTCACTAATTCATCCTCTTCATTCTCCAACTCATCCGTTTTTAAACATTGTAATATTTGTTCTTGTATTTCATCCATTAATTGTTGCTGCTTAAGAGCTTCAACGCCGGCGGCAGCAGTTTGTTTTGCCTTACGCTCCTTCTTGCGTTCGGTTTTAGGTACACCGGCAAATTGTACATGTTCACGCTGTAGATGTGTGCGTACATGTGCGCGTGATGAATAGCAACGTCCACAGATTTCGCATTTAAATGGTTTTTCACCTACAAAAAAAAAAGCAAATTAACCACAGTTTAATATAATGTTACGAGAAGATAACAATCTTCGTAGAGTCCACTTACCTGTGTGTGTGCGATGGTGCACTTTGCGGTCTATATTGCGCATGAAGCGTTTATCGCAATAATCACATTTGTAATTCTTCTCGCCCATGTGTGAACGACGGTGTACAAGGAGATTCTGGTTTGCCCGAAAGGTTTTCTTGCAAATTTCACATTCGAATGGTTTCTCACCCGTGTGCACACGTTTGTGTATCTTCAAATCGGAGCTGCGCACAAAACCCTTCGAGCATTCGGTGCACGTGTAACGTCGATCGTTAGTGTGATGACGCTGGTGCAGACGCAGGTCTTGCTTGGTGGCCACTGGCAAGCCACAGGTTTCACATTTATATGCTTTGACTGTGAGATGACGCATTTTGTGTTCACTTAGACGCCTCTTAATACGGAACGTTTTGCCACATTCATCGCAACTGAACGGTTTCTCGCCCGTGTGCAAGCGTTTGTGTTCAGCCAAACGTGGTGATTTACTAAAGGATTTTGGACATTGGTTGCAAGCATAACGTAGTTTATGGGTTTCCGAATAGCATGTAGTTCGGCACATGGGTTCTATGAGAGTTTTAACGCTGTCCGTCGATGTATTTTGTTTCGTTTCGATATCATCAGTGGACAATGTTTTGTTAACAGTTGACGCAGGGTTAGGGGGCGACATAACCTCGTTTGCTGGCTCTGATGGTTCACTTGCGAATGCAACCTTTTTATTGTTCCGTGTTTTCTTTGCAGTCGGCTTTGAACTAGACCGAGTTCTGGTCGCTGTCTTGGCTTTTAGTTTCTTTACGTCTGCAGTGCTTGTAGAAGCAATATTATCTGTGGGATCTTCTGTTAAAGAAATTGGTTCTTTGATCTCAGCATCGACTGTGGTAGTGAAATCTTCGGACGGAGCTTCGGGATATTGTTTTAAATTATTGGTAAAGTTCTCACTTACAACGGTATACGTTGGATTTATAGGAGTTGGCGTTAAAACATCTGTCACATACTCAGTTATTTCATATCCTGATATTTCGTATTCAGATACAATTGTTAAAGTGTCGACAGCTGTTGGTATTGGCACAACTTTCGTTTCAGTCTCGGTTGTCGAAACCGTTTCAGCTACATCAATCGAAGACTTAGCTGCGAGTGAAGTACGAGCTTTACCAAGTGTAGAATCATTTCCCTCGACAGTAGTATTAACTGCGCCAACAGCAGCGTTGGGTGTAGTAGCAGCGCCGTCAATCTCAACTACGGTAGGAACAATCGAAGCGGCGGTGGAGTCAGCTTCGTTTTTATCAGATGTTTGTACATTTGTAGCTTTCGGTGTAGTAGCACGGCGCTTTGATGGCGAACGTTTCGAATAAACCTGCAAATTTAATAATGATTTAATGTATTTCATATGCCCATTTGAAATTTAGTTTTTGGAGTATATAAATGTTTTTTTTTTTTTTTAATTTTTACTTTAAATTCTGATTACTTACCGAACGTCGCTTTCTTTTAGGTTTTGTTGTCTTTTTTTCATCCACCGCCTTAACCTCTTTCTCTTCTTCAAGCGTTTCCTCACATGGTTTGCTCAAATCCTCCTCATCCATTACCTTGGCTGTTTGCACCTGTTGATCTGATTGGAACTGCGCATGCTCCTCCACCGTGGGTGGTGTTTCGTTTTTCGAAATGTTTTTGGCCACTTCTTCTTCTTCTTCAACATCTGCTTCCTTAGTCACCTCTATTTCATTACTGTTGGGTTTGTTTTTGACTTCTTCGTCACGCACTATATTTTCTGCATCACATATTTCATTATCATTAGCTATTATGTTTTCAGTCAGCATTTTATCTTTACTCGTAGTGTCATCAACCGGTTCTGCCGCCATCTTTTCTTCATCTGGTGGTGGAGTTTCTGGTACTTGGACAGATGATGCCGATTGTGTTAACATATCATTATTATCCAAGTTTTGTGACATAGGTAACACCACCATTACGGGCGAATCAATCATAGCTTCAATACTTGTGCTTCGCTGTTTCTCTCTGTCAAAGGCTGCAGAACTAAGTCCAGCCACCTGATCCATCTCTTCGCATCCTTCAATCTTTATCTCCGGCTTAGGCAACACATTTATTTCTTTTACTGGCCCTGTGAAAAACTGATGTTGCTGCCGCAAATGTTTATGAAACAAATCCAATGTTGCATATTTGCATTCGCAGTGTCCACAAATTAGGAAAAGTTTTTTGTCATTTAAAATAAACACATTCCCACAAGATTCAATTGTTGCATCTACAGGTATTGGTGACATTGAATGCGCACTTGAAGTATCATCATCCTCCACCACTTCTGTCTTTACTACCACATTAAGTATGTTGTCCTGCGCTTGCGCTTTACTTTCTGCCTGTTGCTTCGATTGTGTGCGTGGACTTTTACGCGCGGGAGTTGGCAAGGTCGTGTCCTCTTTTTCACGAAACAATTTATGAATATCATGCAAGTGCGTTCCGAATTTAGTTAAATCGCAATAACGTAATTCGCAAAAGCTGCAACTGAATATTAGCTTTTGTTGGTCCTCGTACACGTAAATATTGCCGCAAGATTCGGTTTGGCAGGATGGCGTGACTAGCGATGATGCTACGGAACAAGTGGAAGGTACACGGCTTCTAAGCGAGCGTTTATTTGTCGAGGCGCCATCTTCATGTTCCGCTTCAGATTCAGTGGTACTCATTGCTTTCTCAACATTTCTACAAGCAACCGTCTTCTGAAACTTGGCACTCTGTTTTTGTTTATCATCTTCAGTGCGCTTAACATGATTATTTTCCGTAAATGTCGAGGCGGAAGAGCAGGAAGCAATTGATGTTTTACTACTAACACTAGCACAACTTGAGACACTACGACCACGAAGCTTTTTTAGGACATTGCCCTTTTTGTCACCACTCCTCCTACCATTTTTTGAAACAGTTGGTAAATGCAAGGTTTTTTCTATTAATTCATGAAATCGTATACGTTGTGCCTCCAGTTCTGCTTCCTCATCGCTGCTAATCGGAAGTTGTGTCTCCTCTTCATCGTCATCTGGAAGATCCGTATCCGAGTCATCCTCGTCAGAATCTTCATCTTCATCGTCATCCTCACCCTCACTGCTCTCCTCCTCATCTTCTTCAGCGACTACATTCTTACCATTCGTTTGCACATTTTTGTTTTTCTGTTTGCTATTGTTTTCTGCGCCTCCGTCGTCGCCATTATCCGGTGCTTCCAGTTTTATGGGAACATGCTCTAGCAGTGTGTTGATCATCATGTTAATACGTATTTAACACACACTCGTACGTAGCCGCTAACAAACACTAAACGCCAACTCTTATATTAACATTAAATATTAATTGCATATATTTTCAATATTATTTAAATTCAATTTTAAGAAATTTATAAACAATTCAAGCGCACCATATAAATTTCTCTCACACAGCAATAAATTCTACTGACGCCGCTTCTTTTCCACAAAGCTGTCAACTTTTTGCCTTCGACTACTCTTTGTTGTTGCTTTGTTGTTATACACTTTGTTTCGCACCCTCTTCGCTGGCGCGCTGCGCAGCTCATTTGCGCAAAGAGTTCAACACTGCTTTTATTGAAATTTTTTGCAAACCTTTGTTTTGTACCTTCACGCAAGGCGTGTGTAAGCGAGACGACTGCTGCATAAGCGGACCGCCGTTAAGCGATTGAATGAATTTGTGGAACGTAAAATGTCAAAAGATTTTGGCATTTGGAATGAATGAATGATCTCCATGGAATGAATAGTGTATGTAGGGTTGTATACGTAGTAATTTGGGCGGAAATAAATAAATTTATGAAACCGAATAAAGCATAAAAAGGAAAATTACATAAAAAATAACTAAATTTGCTATTGTATACACACGTGTTTGTGCGAAGTATTCCTTATTTACGTTCAGGTGCGCACTTATTCGAGTTGGTCCGTTTTTTGACTTGCATACTAACATACTTACATATATCTATATGTTGTACGTATGTATATATGCATTCATTTAAACATTTGTATCCCTTTTTAATGCCGAATTCATTTTTGCGAGGATAGATTCCAAGGTAAACCGGTTCATAACGCATACGTACAGACATACAAGTGTAGATAGGTACATTTGTTCTTTTTTTATTTGTAAAGAAACAAACAAACACGTTGGAGTTTTTGTTGAATTCTGTACATTATTCAAATTGTATACCTGAGCAAAATATGACCCGTACCAACTGACATATTACGTATGTATGTATGCATGTTTGTAGGATTTTAGAAATTATATTGTAGCAAGTCGTATCGCCGCGTGGCTTCTTTCAAACATATTTTGCATGGACGTGAACATACCTACATACATTTGAAGTGTATACACGTTCATATGTATGTACATATGTATGTATTAATTAAAAAAAAACAACAATTATTATAGCGTTCGTAAGTGCGAATTGACGACTCATATCTATGCATGTGTATGTACATATATATGTACTTATAATCATATTGCGTATACGCTCAGTAATCCACTAGAATTTTACATATGAATGAAACAGAATACAAAGGCCATAAAATATTGATATATATATATGTATATATATATATAGTATGTATGTATGTATATATTCGGCCATAATCACGACAATTATATGTAATGGAGGTTCTGATCAGTAAATAACTATATTTAACAGAAGTTTGCGGTGAAGAAGACAAGCAACGGTTCGTTTTCGCCTCTTATGCATTACGCCGAATATTTGCAAACGGGAACAAATAAAATAAAATCTTAGAAGAAAATGTTATCTGCTCTGTATCGGGTAAGCTTGCTAAGAGAGAGTGAGGGGGGAATTTGAAACTGAAACCTTTTTAGGTTTACTCTTTTTTTGTTTTACTTTCTGATATTCTACTTTTAACTTCTTTATGCTTGTTTATTTGTGCACTCTGTGCTTTGATTTCTTCGTTAGGCACTTATGTGCACATTTATGTAGAGCGGAACCAGAAACACATTTCTTACTTAGTCACGTTGGCACTTCACCAAATAAATCATGCTTATATATACATACATACCAACTCATGTGACTATAGTAAAACAGTTATGAAAATGACAACAGAAAGAAGTTGAAAGAAAAGGAAAATGATATGAGGAAATGAAAATGTTGCTAATATGTACATGTATAGGTATTATATATGTATACATATGTACTTATGTATGTCTACATGTAAGGCAAATGCTTCGTAATTCTTTCTAAAAGTTACCCTGCATAATGATAAAATCAGAACGGTGTAAAAAGGAAGTGATGCCATCAAGTGCCTGCCATCATTGGCTGGTGTTATAATAAACATTCAGGAAATTAATATGGTATATTGTTGTAAGGACCCTACACTAGAGCACAAGTTTGGTACATTACACGTCATTTGTCTTCGAAGAAGCCAGTTCAACGCATCGGTTGTCACCCTTTCAGCTACCTAACTCCGTTTAGATTAGCAGGTAACATTGGTTCGAATAATTACTTCTGCTGCGTATGCTACAAACGTCACCGCCATTTCTTCATTTAGGTTAAATGCAACCATTGTAATGGTTGGAGGGATTCTAAGTCCTGTTCAGGCAGTGGTCCACGAGTTACGCGCTACAAGGCTCTTCAGCAGTATCCTACTCTAGGAAACCACCCCCAGACCTCTACGTTCTCATTTAGCTCCCCGCAAACTCTCTTTTTACCCACAAACCTCACTCCCACCAACGTCCAGCTCCACGTCCTGCTCCCGAGCAGGGGCAACCCAGCAGATCCTAGTCCCTCGCGCGGTATGTTCCATGTGTCAGTCCAAAGTAGAAGTCTGACTCCGCCTACATCTGCCACGCCACCGCCAACCAAAAACAACAACAACCTAATTCTGCAGCAATTTATAACTGTAACGGACTCCAGAGAAAGATCGACGGCGACATCGACCGCAGCGTTAGTAGTACCCTAGAATTTCAGGGTATAGCTATCTGGACAGGTGATTTCAAGCTCGAAATATTTATTATATACATTCCTCCAGTCAGTCATCACCATGAAAAAATACGCCCCCCCCCCAAGAGTTGTGGGTAATTGCCAAAGCTCGCCAGACGTAACAATCGCGAATGCTGGTCTGATAAACAGCTTAGCCTGACGACTTATGCTGAGGCTATAATCAGACCACTTACCCATACTAATCTCAATTGACAGGCCGTGGAGCAAAGGACGTTTGTCATCTTTATTCACGGAAATTAATGAGAACGACTTCATTGTTCTCCTCACTCCAACTAACACTGCGGGCGAACGTTTCTCCCTCCTTTGCACTGAATTTTTTGTTTATTTTATTTTATTGCATTTTATATTAAATTATATTATTTTATTTAACTTAACTTAGATTTATTTCATTATGTATATTTTATTTTATGTATATTTTATTTTATTTAAGTTTTATTTTATTTTATTTTATTTTATTTTATTTTATTTTATTTATATTTATTTATTTTATTTTAATTTTATTTTATTTTATTTTATTTTATTTTATTTTATTATATTATTTTACTCTTTTTTATTATATCATTTTTCATTGTCTTTGTCTTTTATTTCATTTATGTTATATACAAATATTTGTGTATATCGATAAAGGTTGGAAACATGTACAAAATAAAAACGTTTACTTAAAAATTATTTATGAAAATCTGCCGTCCCAACTAATAAACGCCAATTCCTTCAACAGTTTAAATAAAATGTATAAGAAGAAGAAGAAAGGACATAAAGAATGGAAAGTTTAACCTTCACTTCATCAAAGTTCGCCCCCTTCAATCCACACAAGTTTGACTAAACATCCACAGACACAATTTGGCTTCAAGATAGAGATGAAGAAAGCAAATAAACAAAAATACATTCAAATGTACGCGACCACAACTACCAGGACTTGTGGCGTGAGGGTTGATGGAGCTCAGCCTTGTCAGTTTTTAAAGCACGTTTGGGGCTAATTTTCACTGCTTATTCGCCGGAGTATACTCGTATGTAACTAATAAAGCTAGTCTTTGGTGGGATTATATGTACAATATTTAGGAGTATATATGTTCATTTATATACATACGTATCTTTCGTCGTTTTTGCGAGTTCGCAAAGGACAGTGCATGCACCCAGTCAAGGTCGTTGAGAGTTTTCCTTTCCTTTTCTTTGTTAACATTTGCTACACAACATAAAAATTTGTTGGGGAGCGCATCTAAATCCCCAAAAGTTTTTTTCTTCTGCGCAAAATAAACAAATACATAAATACATACATACATTTATGTAGATATGTATGTATCACCACACAAATGTATATGTGTATGTATATATGTAAATACATATATAAATTGTTCAGCGTGTGTTAAAGCTTATTTCAAGCGCCCCAATCTATAATCCCCATAACAAAAACAACAACAACAACAACAACAACAACAACAATGACAACAAGAATTTCGAATAAAGCGTTAAATGGCCAAAATAAAACAAACAAATGTTAGTGACCTTCACACTGTGTCTGTTTTTCGGATTTTATTTTACTTCCTATTTTTTACGAGGGCTTATACTATATGTATACATATGTACGAGTATATGGAAGAATAATACATATGTATGTAGGTTTAAGCGTCATTTTAGGTGCTTCCCTAAGTTGATTGCCGTTGATGTAGTTTCAAAATATTGACATGTGGAAAGCTTATCAGTTTATTGCATGTGTTTATATATGTATGTTTGTATGTATTTTAAGAAGTTGATTATTGGAACTGGCAGTTGTAAAATTGAAGACTTGAGATCTTTTAAGATTAGAAGATTTCCGTTTGTCTCGACCCACTTCACTCTGCATTGAAATTCTTCAAGTGAGGTTTTCCATATTACACATTTTCGAAGTCTTTGCCGAAATTACCGTTTTTTTTTCAAAGAGGACTAAGAGTAGAACTGCTAAGTATTACCGGGTGTGGGAGCAATTCTATTTCACATGATGCCTTATAATTACCATCGTTTGTCAGCAAACATGCTTGAAAATTTATATAAAAAGACTTGCAGGAAGTTTCAAGACCGGCACATACTCATGTAGGGACCAAGGAGGAAATATGGTAACAGCTCACTGAGTTTTTGCAGGAAACATTTCACTTCAGATCGCTGAATGGGAGAAAAAATGCAACACCCGAATGTCGAATAGATGGTGATGAAGCAGACCGACCCTGAAGAAGTTCCAAGCTGTTACACACTCGAAGAATAAAAAAAACAGCAAGAGCCGGTATCTTACCGGCTGAGCTACTCAAATATGACGTCTAAGTATAGACAAAGTGCATGCACCCACGAATTAGCAGAATATGGTTGCATTGGAATAGGATCCTAACTTAAATCGACTTGCCCAAGACTGAGAGACTAAAGCCCACCGTCAACAAATTGATCCAACCTTATCAGTGTGACCTTAAACCTGACATATCCACTATTTTTCGACTGCTCAGCAATCATCAAATGTTAAAATCGACCCGAGAGAGAAGAACAGATACCCACCACCTTTTTGCAGATCTTAAAGCTGCCTTCGACAGCACGAAAAAGAGCTACCTCTGCGCCGCTATATCGGAACTTGATGCCCTTATAAAACTTATACGGCAGTGTAAACTGAAACTGGACAACACCAGAAGTGCAGTCAGAATTTTGAAGGATCTCTTCGAATCAATCGATAGGGCGACAGGGCACTGCGGCTTTGGAAACAGAGGGATAGAAAGACTTGTACTTCTTTGGAAATATCAAGTGGAGAAGATCTGACTCCCTTTAAACCCTCACATATAGATCTGACTGGGGTCAACAAATATAGATAATGTACGGAGTATGTGGAGCCAGTGAATAACCGCCTTTGGACAGGCAAAATATATGCTTTAAATTGGCGCAGAAAGACTACAGAACCTTAAATCGGCAAAGGCCAAGGGGCCAAAACAACTTCTTCAGTTCGCGAAAAACAGCAATGTTCTTCACACTAGAGACACACTCGTAGTGTAGCAGTGCAGCTGAGTTGCAGGTAGTGCATCTGGCAATACTATATATGTATTATGAGACACCCGATGGGTCAGTCAACTCAACCTAACCTAACTTATTCAATAAAAGTACAGAATTCTGAAAAAAATACAAGTAAAATTCAACCACGTGTCATAACTCCACTTCGCTTTCTCCATTTCTCTGCCAACAAGCAAAACGTTTTGCTGTAAAACCAGCAGCCTTCTCTCACACCAATCAATAACACCACAACAACCGGCTACATTTTATGCGCACTTTTTTGATTAAACTTTCACTTTCGTTTAGGTGTAAGCTGGAAATCAACCCTGCGATTGCCGTACACTAACATTCAAAGCTCACACACAGCACACTTTTTGAATACAAAAAGTAATTTTAACGACATGACTGCTCTTTTCTTGCATACCAAATTAAAAAACATTTCTCTTTTTTCGGTACTGCGAAAGGTGATTTTTGGGAAACCCCATTTAATGGAGGAATTCCCCAGCGCTGACAACGATGACTCACACAATTGGCAGTAAGCAATGAATTAAAGAAAGAAAAAAAAACAGTTAAATAAAAAACCGACAGTTACGCTGTTACGACAATACCTCCCATCTCCACGCAGATGTCATCAAGGTCTCGTCTCGTTTTCGGAGATTAGTTCCATGCTGGTTTTGCCGTCGTGCATATTTTCAGGAGTTTGAACACACACAATTCACAACGGCTTTGTGGCCTCTGTATTTGTAGCGGAGGTTGTGCGATGGCAGGGAGAATACAGAGTTTGAATGATGTTAAAAATGAGCAACTCCACAACTCAAAATGTGTCTGCATCATTTCACACCCTTTTGTTTGTTTTACTTATTCATTTGAGTGGGCGCAACAATATTGGGTCGTGTCGCAAGACACCCCCGTTTTTTAAGTGTAGTCCGTCCGCAAACGGCGGCAGAAAACATATGTACAGAGTGTGCCACTACTGTACACAGATGCTACATGTTGCCGTGTGCCACCTTTTTACGTTTCTCCACATTGAGCCTTTTTGTGGCGTGGGCGGTTGGAAATTGATGATATTCTAAAATGTACATTTATTACTATTTTTATTGTGACGTGCGCGGCAGTAGGATGGAGTGACACGTGGGGTTGGGGCATTAATGTTACGCAATTGCAACAAAATGTGACAGAAGGTTTGCGTAATGAAAACCGCCAAGCAATGAACTCACAACTGACATTCTGCAGAGGTGGGGAGCCGAGTTGGAGTCTAGAACATGTCCATTTTCTAAAATGGTTTACTTGAAATATTAATAAAGCCATGTGGTTGATTTTAAACAAATGAATATATATATTTATATATATATGCATTTTTATTACTTCTCGCACTTAAAAATTATTTTTATGTAATTTTATTTAATTTATTTATTTTAGTAATTAACTTGATTGGTTTCTTATTTATATCCCCATCCACGTGTTTCTTAAACGCACGGATTGCTTGGGATGGTTGCGTGTGTGTGTCTGTATGTGTGTGAGTGTGTGTGTGTGTTCTTTGGTTACTTAATCCTTTAATCTTCAGTTGACTTCTGTTAATTATGGGGTGGATTTGAAATTTTTAATCACTCATTAAATAGGCATGTGGTGAATTACCCTTTCCTTTTTGGTTGGTATCATTTTTTTTTTGCCAAGAATGAGCATTCTCTACCATACTCCTTCTTCTGCTTTACAGTCGTAGACACCGCTAACGGGTTAACAACAGCGCGCCCTTCATTCCTTGCTTTCACTGTTCGGCGCCAATTGGAAATACCAAGTACAGGCAGTTCTTTTCACACCTGGTCCTTCCAGGTCGAGTGTAGGTCTCCCTCTACTCCTGGTACTGCATCGAAAACTTTCAGTGTCACCTCAAACTGCTCATCGTTCCATCGGCTGTGGTATTCGCCGTTTCGAACTCATAGAGGACCATAAATCTTATGCAAAACTTTACCCTCAAAAACTCCTAACCCCTTCTCATCAGATGTTGGCACCGTCCATGCCACCGCACCATTTAGCAGAACGGGAATTGAGAGAGACTTGTAGATTTTTGTTTTTGTTCGTAGAGAGAGTACTTAACTTTTCAATTGTCTTCTCAATCCCAGGTAGCCCCTATTGGCTAGAGTGATTCTGCGTTTTACTTCCAGGCTGACATTATTATTGGTGTTAATACTGGTTACAAGATAGAAGAAGTTATCTACGGCTTCAAAGTTATGACTGTCAACAGTGACGTGGGAGCCGAGTTACGAATGCGATGACTGTTTGTTTTGAAGACAAGAGATATATCCTCCTACCCTCGTTTACTACTAAACCCATTTACTTCGCTTCCTTATCCAGTCTGGAGAAAGCAGAAATCACGGCGCGTTTTTTGAGGCCAATAATATCAATATCATCGGGGAAGGCCGGCTGCTATATACTCTTATTGAAGATTATACCATTCAGCTCTGCAGCTCGTATTATTTTCTCCAGCAATAAGTTGAAGTAATCGCACGATAAGGAATCACGAACGGCTCTGAGAGGTCCTTCCCGAAGACGACGAAGCTTGGTGTTGCTTAAACTCAACTTAGAAAGCCGTATAAGTTTTGCGGGCCTGCCAGATGCACCTTCTTCTCGTGCTGTCAGAAGCTGCTTCAAAATTAATTAGTATTTCCAAGATTATCTGGCCAATCATTGATTTACCAGGTCTAAGGTCACACTGATAATTTCGAATCAGTTTTTTGACGATATTAAGGCGGCTCAGGCCGTGGTATCGCATTTTTCGTGGATTGGCCAGAGCACACTTAGGCTCCAGTCGTCGGGCATTCTTTCCTTCGACCCTATTTTGCAAAAAAGCTGATGAAGATGGATGCATCAGTTTTTCACTGCCGCGTATGGTTAGCTCGACCAGTAATTCATCGGCCTCCGCCGCTTTTACTTCAAGCGGGCGCTTCCTGTTCGAACTTCTTCATAGTCGGGCAGCGGAACATTTGTACCATCGTCATCGATTGGGGTTTCGAGCTCGCCATCTCCTGGTGTTGTGCTTTGAGTACCATTCAGCTAGCTGGAGAAATGTTCTCTCTATAAATTCAGCATACTCTGGGCATCAGTTATTAGATCACCTCTTTGTATCCAGCAAGAGCCTGATCCGGTCTTGAAACCTTCTGTAGCTCACCGTATATTTTCGTATAATTTTCGAGTATTTCCTTTGTCGGCCAGCTTCTCAAACTCTTCAACTCACGAATGTCGGCCTCTTTCCTTTTTGTCTGTGCATATGTCTTGTGTCTTCCCTCCCTATCTATTCCAATACGCACATGTAGTGATTGGTCGAAACGTTGCGAGGTAACCACCATCCTTTCACTTCAGCGCACAGCGCGGCAAAAATATTTCTTGACTGCAAATTAAATCAAGCAAGTTTTTTTAACTCGCAAAAATTATATTAGTATTAAAATCTGACGAATTACAAATTTAGAGTTTACTTGAATAAATATTTTTTATATTTTTGCAGATCGCACCAATCCAGAGCCGGTGGAGATATGCCGTCACTTTCCACCAGAATATGAGGTGGAGTCACTCCCATCTTATACCATTGTCTCAGGCTTACCCACTTACGATGACGCCCTGGAGGAATTCCGAAAAGCTGGCATAATTCTTACGCCACCCATGCCTGTGGTGAAGATATTTGAGAAAGATCCCGCAGCTGTTGGAAGCACAGCTAAGGAGAATCAAATCTTTAATATGGAAAACGGCGTCAACACTGATACTGATAACATCTCTGTGACTTCAACGTGCACTTGTGGTGCGGCAAATAATTCCAACTTAACCAATCCAAATTCAGTATATACTGTACCCTCACCACTTGCTTCGCAAGTCATCGAACTGTCGCCCGAACAATTGGCCGCCTTGTCACAGAAGCGTCTTTCGTTACAGATCACATTCAACAATGCTGTGCGTCGTAACTCTCGTCCGCGTGGTGTCGATCTATATCGTCAGGTGAACCGCAACAATTTATTGCGCTCACAAGCTGCTGCCGCCGCAGCTGCTACACGCGAAGGTTTTCCACAAATTCATCGCTCATCATCGACGTTGACCCTGTCCAATGAACCGAATATGCTGGATCGACGTCTCATGCAGCATCTACAGCACCGCGGCTCTCTTTATTGAAGCCTCGATTGACAAGAGAAAACTGCTTTTACGATAATGCTTTCTGCTGAACTATTGTACTATTGGTTATACTTACATATATTTATAAATATGTATTCTAAGTTCTAAAATTCTCTTATTATTAGTATTTTTAGTGTAGAAATGTACATAATATTTAGTTAAAAGCAAATGTAAATACACACAACTGTAAATATGTATGTAAGTGTATAAATGTAAAAAGGTCAATTAATAAAAGTCCACTTAAATGTACATATATATGTAAGCCAATGTGAATATCAACTAGAAGAGGATTGAAGAAACATTTAGCTAACAGCTTATGAAAGGGGTATTTGTTGTTGTTGTAGCGGTTGCTCTATCTCGCTTAGGGACAGGCTAGTTAATCTAAATCCATCTAACGGAAGGTCCAGGAAACGAGCTTTTTCAACGCGTTCGAATCGGAGGGAGTTAGATGTGTCGGTTTTAGGGGGCATGTAAAGAGATGATTGGTGTCGTGTGGGGATTCACTACAAGCAGGACATGCAATTCTCCCAACTGCCGGTTCTACGCACCAAAGTTGATCCAGATTTTAGCCGGCCTAGCGCCGTCACCCATTCGGCGATCTAACCCCGTTTAGGTTATCAGATAACATTAGTATAAGCCAAGTGTATTTAATAACTGGAGAAAAAAAATTCAGGTGTCATAAAAGTTGGGCGAATCCATAGCAAGCTCACCGCGACATTTCACATAGCAATCTGGTTAGTAGGATTGCTTGCTGAGTTTGTCATTATCGACGTTCGCAATAGCCGAGTGTTTAGCATGTGCCTTCTGAAGGGCAGGATTCGAGTCTTGGTTCAAAATCATGGGAAATTTATTTTCTAATTGCCTCGGCAGGGAATTTCAAACTTTGCGAACTTATCTCAGACCTTAAGTAAAAATTTCCTCAAAATGCCAGCAGCTTCCATTTGGCGGTGAATTATTACAAAACTGTGAGTCCCTCCATTCCTTGGAAAAACATCGAGACGCACATCCAAATCGCAGCTGAATGGTAACAAAATCGACCAATTTTTTGAAGTGGGTTATTTGCAGCAACGCCAAACTAAAAGGTCGTGATAGGAAGGGCTAAACCCTTAATTCGAACAAGAACTGTCAGCAATTGGACCATCTGAAAGTAGTAATCGACCAGGAGCGCGCAGGTCTGGCCAACAGTAGGGGAATTGTGTTTTTTCAGAACAACGTCCCAGACCATAAACATTGATAGTGACTCGACAGAAGCTTCGAGAAAATGATTTGGAGGCTCCCTGCTTCTACATTATAGACCGGACTACGCACAAATTAATTACCCCCTGTTATTGTCTATGGCAAATGATTTGGCTGGTGAAGAATTGGCCTTAATCGAAGGCTATCAAAATCGATTGTCTAAATTTTTAGACAATATCTTACTTAATATGTAATCTCAGCTTATTGCTTACCTTAAAACCGGCCACTTCTCTGTTCTTGTCCTAGTAGAATCTTCTTAGATAAAAAGTCGTTTTATGCTTTAAGAGTTTTCCTCTCTGTCTCTGTAACAAGGAACCGAAATAAGACGTAGCCTGTTCTTTTCAACCATCTTAGGTGAACTCTGCAAGGGCATAGCACCATTTACGAATTTTTCTGAGCGAGTCCTTACTATTTCAAGATCGCTTGTCGATCGCATCGTTAGGTTATACGAGTAGGCAACACTTTTCTCTCGAGTTCTTCCTCTTTCGTTTTCGGTGTAACAACCGCTTACGCAATTATAGCCAAGTTACCAATAGTGCTCCAGTCGTTTCTTCTATTCGCTCTTCGCCGCCAATGGGAATAACCAAGCGAAGCCAGTTCCTTCCCTACCACTACTAAAGGCCTTCCTCTTACTTTGCTTTGATTAGAGGGTACTTCATAGAATATTTTCAGTGCTGGAGTATTTTCGAAAGTGTCACCTGTTGGCAAGAGGGTCATTACCACTGGGGTTAGTGCTGGTTCCTAGATAGAGGAAATTGCCTACAGGAGACCGGGATTATTTCGTTTTGTTCTTATTCACTAAAATAGCCATTCGCCTCGCTTCCTGGAAAAAGTAGAACTCCATCTCCACAATAGCGCGACAATCTTGGTAGTAACGGCACTTTTTTCCTTTTCAAACATTGTTGTTTTCGTTGGGGGCAGTACGAATGTCGTCTCATAGTGAGTTGCTGGCGTGTGCTCTCAGAAAGCAGGTAAGCAAGCCATGTAGAAAACTGTTTGGTATGTATTTGGATGCGTATCTTGACTTTAACTAAGGTAGGGGTCCGAGTCGTTGTTGGAGAAACGGAGAGTATGTACATCTAATATATGTCACATAATTTCCGATTTGGTTTCAAGACATCGCATTTCCTGTATGGCTAATGGACAATCTCGTCTTACCTTGTATGAGGTTATCAACTAGGTGTTCAGCGACCGGACATTCCAAGTGAAATAATGTCCGGAAATTTCAAAAGCTAAGCAACTTGTAAGCGTTCAAGCAGACAAAGGGGCGGGCGGCCATTGAACTCTATTCGTTATTCTGACCACAACCGCTTCAAGTTTGGTGATATTTCTTCTGCTAACCACAAATATTGAACGAAAGTTATGACACCGTTTCTTTTTCATGAGCTTTAGCGTCAAGAAGCTTTCTTAACTGTCCTGACTTAACACAAATAATGCCGCGTTTTCACGTGCATTAAGGCGCATGTCCTTGAATGAGGTTCATGTCTTTGCTATGTACAATACTTCTCGTTTTAAGGCATTAATTCCCGTCAAGGATATTCTGACAATTTCAGCACACCGAAACTGCTTATAAATTTGTTCGCGGTTATTTTGAATAAGAATAAAGAAACACACAAGTCTTATTAAAAAGAAATTAGTCTTAAACGTCCGAGTAAATCACGACATTGAATGCAGTATGCGATACCCTCTGTCTTCGCCTGTATACAACTTACATAGCGAAATATATGCTTCCAGTTAATGATCATAATTTTATGCTGCGTAAGAAACCATCTGCAAGCCAGTTGTGAACCTACATCAGGGATCACCATTACAGACACCTGCTTGGATCAGAATCACCACCTGTCAAATCAGCAAAGAATAATTTGACTATGGTAACCAGACTCGACTACGCCAAATAACCTCAAGGATAAAAACTCTCTTTAATTGTTCTGAAGCAGTGTTACCTAGCCGCCCCGCAAACTACTGCTACGTTTCCAATCTTATTTTCTTACTTCTTTCTCATTCTCTATCACAAGATCCTCTCAAGGTTGTACCTCATTCCAGAGCCGCAATAAAATGTAGAGTGCTCATCCAAGCGCCCGTGAAATACTGAACTGCCCAACATCACTGACCCAAACCAGGAACTGGACTAATGTTACCTGTTGACTTAACCACCGAAAAGGGGGCAGCTCTTAGCCGGACAAAACCCGGATCAACTTCAGTGCGTAAAAGCGGCTGTCTGGAGAGTTGCACAATATTACCTGTTAACCCAAACAAGGTTTGACCGCTTACGACTGCAATTTACACAAAGCTCCAGAGCAGCAACAAAATCTTCAAAGGGTTAGCCGCCAGCACCTGGGGAAAAGATAAAGGATCGTTGCTGGCAATTTACAAGACCTGCACAATTACTCGTTCTGTTGGGATACCATCGTGAGAAGCGATCCAACATACATTTGTTTACAACAACCGTTGGACAGGACGACTTAAGGATCTTAAATTAATGTTATCTGTTGATGGATACGGTACCAGGTTAAACTCCTACTTATCCAGACTCGACCCCAGCATGTCCAAGGTATGCCCTACATGTGAGGAGTCTCTGCACGACACCAACCACCTCTTCACATGTCCCCTTAAACCGACACATCTAATCCCCTTTCCCTCTAGTCCAGCCCCGTCGAAGCAGTACGTTTCCTGGTCTTCCCACTATATGACCTCGGCGACTTAGATTGATCAGGCCTGTAACTAAGCGGGGTTAGCGAGCAGCTACTACAACAACAACAAAACGACTTACAGAAATCAAACGCCTTTCACCGAGAGTCCGTCAACACCTTCCTGAAACCCCTTCTAGTGAATGATGTCTTGTAGTCAAAACACCACCTACGTGTATTACAGACGGAAAGCTCGAACTGCTTCAGGAGTCACACATAATACTGATGCAACATACCTGCACCTCCCGTTAGATAACCTCAATGACTTAGACTAACTAGTTTGTCCCGAAGCGGAGTTGGAGAAGGAGTCACACATAATACTGATGCAACATACCTGCACCTCCCGTTAGATAACCTCAGTGACTTAGAAAAAGTAGTTTCTCCCTAAGCGGAGTTGGAGAAGCCGGTACAACAACCTTGCGATAAGGCATACCTATAGTAGGAGGCGACTAATGTCCAAAAGTTTCCGCAATAGTCGGATATTTATGCCGGAATAACCCGGAACAATTCGGCCAAGGACTGTCACTCCAGCGAGACTTCCCAAAAAGTACTTTTTACAAATATTTTTGCACTACAACAACAACAACAAAACAACCATTATCTTGCCTGCTCCTACGCCTGGCTAGTGAAACGCCAGGAGCTGCAGAGACCTAAGGAAGATGCTGAAAGCCTGAACTATAGGAACAACATTGATAAACTGCTTCATCTTGTCCAAACAGCTCATTTCCTGTCTGCTGCCATTCAATAACAATGAAAATCCTTAGTTTTGCATGTCTCCAACCGGAGTCACTGCCTGGTCTTAGTTGGCTCTGATATTTTCATATTAAAAAAATGCAAATGTTTTCCTTCGCTGACCTTAATTTTATTCCGAATTCTTTTGTAGATATGCACAATAGTAAAATATATATATTTATAATACAAAATCTTTCAAATACAAATTTAATTAGTATTTAAAGTGTATGTCAAATTCTAATGCGAAAGCATGAATTGATCACTCAAAGAAAAAGCTAATTCCTTTGCATATATACATACATAACTACTCTTATACGCACTACATATAACTTAATATTTATTGAATAGCCTAATGTTGTAGGAATTAAATTTAATTTAAATTTAATGTCATAAGAATATTTTTAAATTTCAATTACATTTTTTTTTCTTGAAAATTTTAACAGAAATTGAGATTTTTAGCGATGAGCCAATTTTTTATAGCAAACGAATTTCTTTTCAGTTCTTATATAGTAGCCGTGTTGTTTTTACGCGCAAGTGTACATATGTATGTACACTTAAAATTTCTTCAGTACATACATAACATTGTTCATAACATTATTCTTCATATAAAAAATTAAGTGTATAGATATACTGTTCGCGTAAAAATAAACACCGCTAATATTAATCACCGCATAACGGCATATCGGAAGCATTTCATTTCATTTTATAAATGATATTTAAATGTTTTATAAAAAAAAACTGGCACACTTTACATACGTACTTAAGTAATAGTTTAAACAGACACGCAAACGCTACCTTCCGCCGTACACATATTTATATTTGTATATGTATATACATAAGTATTATAAATTTTAGAAACACAAATAGTCGTGTGTTGTAAGTATGTTTGCATAAGATATAAATATAAGATTGAAATAATAATAGAATTCATAAAAAAAAATTTATTGATTATCACCTTACAGTCTAACTAGATTTGCAACGAAATATAATTTGAAAGCTATGCACTTTGAAGTGGCACAAAATTGACCAGTTACTTTCGAATATCGAACACATTACTTTAATAAAATTAGCTATAAACAAAATATATGTATGTGCAAATTGTACTTCCCGGCTGTTGCGTTTAACTATGTCACTTAATGAGTAATTAATTGTTGAGAAATTTATCTTTCAGCGCACAAAACTTAAGGGCTAAGTTGTTCATCGTATGACGACTTCCATCAACTGTACTTAAAAAAGCATGAACTATAAAAAAATAGTCCAATTTAAATGTCCAAATCAAGTTAAACTGTAAGGCCTTTGCAAATTTACATTTTCCATTGTTAATTGTTATCTAAGATCGATATTTTGGAATAGTTCATTTTACAAAATATATTACCATATATATATATATATATTACAATTTCGAGAGTTTATTTTGTTTGCTGGCGAGTGCGCTTGCAAGTGGTAGCAGGTAAGCTACGCATTCTAACTACACTTGCTTTAAAAAAAAACCAAAAATGGTGCGAGCGAGTGGGTGGGTAGCAAGGTAGATAGTGACGTTTACACAAACCGACCCAATACTACCACTACTACTACTACCCACCAACCCAAACTCAAGCCAGCAATACAAAATAAATGGACGCACGCAAACGTTTTGCGGAGAGCTAATTATTTAATTGAATGCTGCTAAAACAAATCGAAGGTGTAGGTGTGTACATTTTGAAGAAGAATATGTGTAGCTAAAGTATATAACTGATTATACATACTATATATATTATATATATAAAATTTTAACATTTAAAATATTTAAAGTTTTTGCTATCTACTCCGTAGTATACAGCTTATGGAAAACCGATTTCGTTCATCCTTAATGCACATTGCCATTACTGCCACCGCTATTGCCGTTACATTTAATTTCCCCATTTGTTGTTGTTGCGCCATTTTGCTGTTTTTCCTCTGCTGCTACTGCTTTACCAGCGGATTTCACATCCTTGGCGCGTCCGTTTGTTAACCGATTTGATGGTGTTGCTGATAAGAAACCATTTAATTGCAATGGTTTTACTGCATTAACAAGTTTCTCACATTCCTCAGCAGAGAGTTCTTCATCCGATGATGCATCGGAGAGCTGACGTGGAGACAATCGACAGCCGCGTGCCATATAATTGGTTAGCCGTTTCTTCGAAGCTAATATCAGACCAAGGAATGGTGGTGATGGTTTGAGTGGACGTGACAAGTACTCTGGATGATATTGTGTAGCAACAAAATATGGATGATCACGCAATTCAATCACCTCCATTCGTCGTTTCTCATCACCATAGCCTACAAAACGCATACCGTGCTCCTCCAATGTGGGTACATACTTGGGATTTACCTCATAGCGATGCCGATGGCGTTCATCAATTGTTTTCGGATTTCCATATAGCATTTTAATAATACTATTCTCATCGGAGAAAGTGGTGCGGCGTTTACCCAAACGCATAGTGCCACCCATTTGGCCGGTATGATGTTCTGGCATATCAATAACTAACGGATTCACCGTTTTGGGTTCGATCTCCGTGGTATTGGCATCCTTTAGACCGAGCACATTTCGTGCAAATTCAATAACAGCCGCTTGTAGACCCAAGCAAATACCCAACATTGGCTTTTGTTTCTCACGGCACCAATTGCAGGCTACAATTTTTCCTTCCATGCCACGTGAACCGAATCCACCGGGCACTACAACACCATCACTATCGCAAAGTTGCATCCAAGCCTCATGATACTTAGTGGGATCCTTATCGCGTGTGGCGATTTCGAGATGACAGGCTTCAATGAATTTCAAATTTAGCTTAAAGCCAGCAGCAAGTGAAGCATGTTGGAGTGCCTTAACCACAGAAGCATATGAATCTTCTAACCGTGTATATTTACCGACAATGGCAATATTAACTTCCTCTCGAAGTGTCTCAGAGCGGCGTGCCAAATCCTTCCATTGTTGTAGACATCTGTAAGGGAAATAAGTGTCACAAATGAATCCATTATTAACGAAATATGAAATGTAATAAAAATGGGCTCCTATTTCATGGTTTATATTATTAAGAGACCCCTATTGAACTTCATTTGCTTTCTATATCACTTCGACCGAAACCCTGACTTATAATTTTTTTCTCTTATTATCTACATACATATGTACATGTATGAGTTATGAGGACCTGTTTCCTTAATCAAACATTTCGTAAGCTTACACAATTAAAACCAATAAAACTTAACTAAAAATAAGAACATATTCAAGCTAATCAGAAGTGATGTCTTCGGTCATGCCGAAGTTTTCATACCTTTCATGAACATATCAAAATTGCTGGGGGTTTCTGTATGATGCCAATATTACCAAGTGCCTTCTTAAGACTCATTTTTGACGTATATTTGACCCAAAACCTCTTACCTTAACAAATCGATTGTATTGGAGCTATATGTTATAGTGATCCGATCTGGCCAGTTCCGACAATAAAATATTAAAATACATCTGTGTACTAAGTTTGGTTGAAATATCTCAAAAACTGAGGGAGTATAGCTTGTTCAAAAAGGCGGTCAGGACAGACAGACGAACACGGAACTCCTGCGGTTTAGGGGTTTAAGATTTTACCCGCGGGAAAGCATGCCTGTCGTAAAAAACGACTAAAATCCAATAGTTCTCGTTACGGTCTTTATACCGGAACGACCCAGATTTTCATGCGGCTAAGGACTGTCACTCCCGCAACATTCCCCAAAAGCTACTTTGGGGAATATTTTTGAGGTTACAACAAAAACAACAGCAACATACGGACACGGTTTAATCAATTTAGTACATTGTTCTGCTGGGTCTTTCCTTCCTTGGCAGCAAATTTAAGAAACCATTTCATGTTCATGAAAGATAGAAAATAAAAAAAACACATTTTTCTCGCACAAAACTTATTTTACTAACACAAAATAAATTTCATTCATTAACCACTTACTTCTCACGTTTTGCAGACTCGATATTCAACTGAAGACGTTCATTGAGAAACTCTATTACACCATTTTGTTCCATTAACAAGGGTACATGATAAATTGAGCTTAGATCATGTATGCAAATAACTTGATCCGGTGCAACGTGACAGAAATTACTGATTTTCTCCTTTACTTCAACACCAATAGGCTTCTCCGAACGACAAACAATCAAATCGGGACTCAAACCAAAACCACGTAATTCGCGTACAGAACTCTGTGTAGGCTTCGTCTTCGGTTCGCCGGTAGAACGTGGTGAGGGCACCAACGAAACATGTGCCACACAGAAATTTTCACGTTTTACACGAAATTGAAATTGACGAAAGGCCTCAACGAAAGGCATACCCTCAATGTCACCAATGGTGCCACCCAATTCGACAATACAAACTTGTGGTTGGGAATTACCCTGCACCGGACGTTGTGCTACACGTTCCACCCATTCTTGTATGGCGTCCGTAATGTGAGGAACAACTGTAATTATGATATGTCATAATTAGTGAATCAGTAAAAAATGTGTAAACCATACAAATTATATTTACCTTGTACAGTTTTTCCCAAATATTCACCAGTACGTTCCTTCTCAATCACTTTCTGGTAAATCTTGCCGGTTGTAATATTGTTATCGCGATGTAGAGTTATATCGAGAAAGCGTTCATAATTGCCCAAATCCAAATCGACCTCACCGCCATCGTCAAGTACGTAAACTTCACCTATGAAGAAGAAGAGAAAATGCAATGGAAGCGATTATAATTATGAATATTTTTACGATTTCTGGAGCACTAAAAAAATATTATAATTTAATTTCACTAATGTTTACCGTTAAAAAATAAATAAATAGAGTACTTAAGCAATACTTTCATATATACGTAATGTGTCTTCTTAAAATTATGAAATAATATTAAGAGTCAATAATAATTGTTTAAACTAAAATAGAAAGTAGTTTTTTTTTAGATTTTCCTTTCGAATTGTATCGAATAATAGAATAATTTTTATGAAGCCAAACTTAAAATTTAATAAAAATAATTTTAAAATATAAGATGGATATCTATTCTATAACCCTCAAGTGATTTACTATTTTATATAAATTTTCTCTTAAGCAACAATAAATATCAGCAAAACAACTTACAGCAAAAATGTGTGTTATGAACCTCGATTTAGGACCTAAAATATGTTGATTAAATAGTAATCAGCTCACTTAATTTATTTAAGAGATTTTATCTTCCCCACTCCATATTCTCCGCCAAATATATATGTACATACCATAAAGCAATCAATTTCCGTCAATATTAAAGAAATACCACTTTTCCTTAGCACAAATTCATATTTTATTACTGACTTAAGCAAATAAACGGCGTTTGCAAACGCTCAAACTAGATTTTCATTTTCAATTCCCCATTTTCGGGTAATCGCACATATTATTATTATATTTAGGTACACTTACAACTACGTAATACATCCAAGTATTCATATATATATGTATATATACAGTCTTATATAGTGAGCTTTAGGGTTACATAAACAAAAAAAAAAAAGGTGAAAAAAACCAAGTTGTCTTCACAATTTCACAATTTTCAATTACATAAATGAGCAACTAATTCCATTATGACTTTAATCAACAACAGCAACTCTACACACAGGCGATGCCTGATCGATTTATTTGGTCTCCTCCAAATCCTCCTTGTAGAGTTCCTTGAATATTAATTTTTGTATTTTGGTGCGTATGCGTAACTTCTGCGCCGCCGTCAGTTGTTTCATATACGGATGCAAACTAAGAAGATAATGATAGTCATCATCCTCCGGCACAAGTGGCGCCGTATTATCCATTGTGGATGAGCCATTGAAATTACTATCTTCCGATAGGCGCGGACGTTTCAATTTTAACGCCGGTATTAAGCCGTTCGCGTACGAATGTTTGGTGAAATTCAAATGCTCGTGACTGCCGTGTAAGCAATTGCCGTTGCCATTCAATGAGAACTCCTCACGCTCCTTATTCAACGCGGCAGCCACAGCTGTAGTGAGTGCTGTGGCGGCTGCTGCAGTTGTCGGCGGTGGATGGTGAGCTTTATTGTAGAGTGGTGGCGGTGAAACGGAACGTTTCTTGTGTTGTTGTGTGGCCGCTGCCAGTGAATTGGCGGCTACATTTGCTGCGCTAACCATACACGTAATGGGCGTTGAGGGTGGTGTATTCATGGTGGTTGTTTGAGCGATGGTGGTGGTGATGGTGTTGCCCATACAAATGTTCAATAATGGTGAACTGCCATTACTCAACAGCGAGGTGTTAAGGCTATTGCAATTTTGATTCACATTACTGTTATTGTTGTTGGCTTCCATAGATTTCTTTGACAAATCTTGTGCCTCCTTCTCACCATCATCATCATCCAATAGATGTGCGGCGCGGAGTAGTACACCAGCATTTTTTAGAATTGTACGTGCATCTTCAGTTTTGATGGTTGTCGATGTTACAGACTGTGTGTGGGCCGCTGGTGGTGTGGGTGTAGCGATGTCATCGTCATCATCATCGACATCGTCCTCATCGAACTCTTCGTCGCTGTCCTGCATGCGACGTATGAGACCGTTGGTAAGATCCGGTTCCACAACGGTCTTCTCACAATCTTGACTTTGTTGCGTAAAGTAATAGGACTGGTCCTGTTCACCCTTTGGCATGCGATGGCGCATATGGTCAGCTAAAGCAAAAAGAATTTCGAGTTTATACATTTGTGCCAAGAGAAGAGAGCGGTAGAGTAACAGTGTTGTGGTGAGGAGTGGAGGTGTTGGTAATTAAATTTTTATACCATTTTTTATTTTTTATTTTTTTTTTTTTTTAATTTTAATTAAACTCTTTAGTTTCCACATAAAATGCTAATGAACAACCAAGCCCCCAACACATCTCCACTTGACACTCTTTCCTCTTCCGGCCCTATTTCAGTTATTTCAAAAACTCACTCAAAAACAACAAAGCGTAATAGTGTATCCACTTGGATTCGAATGTGGCTGGCTCCACTAAAAAATCGCCCTGCTCTGAGCGTGGTATGCGTTTGTATTCTACGCGAAAATTATCACGCAGTCCCTTCCATTTAGCCTTGAGTACCACTTCTGCAATGGCGAATGACGAGCCGGTAATTGAAGAAGCCGCACAAGCAAATCCCCACAGCAAGACGACGATAACGACGATGATGGAAGTGCAGAGTGTAAAACAAAACAAGAAAAAGTTACGAATGAGCGAGACAAGAAATTGATTTGAACGCAAAAACAAAATGCCAAAACCAAAACAAGCACGGAAAAATGTGCTTATTCGGCGAACGGTAACCATGTATCTTTGTATGCCTGTATGTATGTAAGTCTGTATGTTAATACTCACTGGGCAATTTGTGTGCGGCTGACAGTTCATCCCACATTTGTTCTAAAAATGCTTTGTTACAGTGGAAATTGCGATTCCAAATGGCCGGTCGTTCTTGAACGTCTCGTATAAATTGTTCCACGTTCAGGACGATTGAAGACTTCTTTGGTGCCATAGGTGCCGGGCCGTTTTGTGCCGCCAGTTTTGAGTTCTGATTAGTAATACGCTTCACTACCCTACAAAAAGCGGAATAAAACGTTTTGTGTTCGTCGTTAAGCGTTATATTAGGACGAGGCGAGATGAGACGCGCGCGCCGATTCGTTCGTTACTGCTGACTGATTGAAACGTTCATTTCCGACTGATTGCTTAGCTGCCTAACTGGCACTCTCAGCGCGGCCAGTTAGCTGCTAGCAGGCTGTATGGCGAAACGGAATATAGGATCATTGAAGTGGTGACGGTGTGGGGCGAAGTAAAGTGCATGAGTGAGCAGCGAACAGCGAGCGTGTGAGCGTAGCAACGACGCCAATGATGAGCAACTACCACGAACACTACAAATGCCAACTGCTAACAACGCCATGGCCGCCGGCACTGCGTGCGAATTGGAAGCAAAACGTCGGCAGCGATTTTTCAAAAACAAAATCAAGTGGGCAAAAGAAACCAAAAAGAAAAATAAAAGCCTCTCCTACATACTGCCAGTCAGCGAGCAACGCAGCGCCAGCAAGAAGGACCATCAGCACACACAAGTCAGGCTATAAAGCAAGGCAAGTTATATGTGGAAGCAGTAAATGCCGCAGACGAGACGAGCAGACAGCGCACACACAAGTCGACACGTTACCCAACATACAAACATACATATATACATACATACATATAGGTATAAAAGCAAAGTGCTTACGAAAACGACAGGGGAACAACCAAAGCCGCTTAGGTCGGTTCAGTCGCTAACTGTCTGCCGTTTGGACAGACAGGCGAGCAGCGACAAACGGAGGCTTTGCGAAGCAATGCGAATTATGTCGGCTAGCCACACAGTCAAACAGCCGCGCACCAGCGGTTGGTGCTGGCGAGGAGGGCACTACTTAGCTATGCTTTGGCGTATGGCAAATGGCATGATGGTGCGAACAAACAAGCGCACACACATAATCACACCATTCTTACACTTGGTCGCGCGTCTGTATGCGAGTTTGTGCTATGAGTGCACATGAAAAATTGGAGTACCAGCCGCCGCGTCGCGAAAAGCAAAAGCAAACTGTGAATCGGACGTAGGAACTGTTGGTTCTGATGATGATGATGATGATGATGGTGATCATGAGCATTAAGACGGCACAGCGGTTGGTGTATGTGCAGGGAGTCAAGAAAGCAAAGGCAATGAAGGCAACAAGCTCAAACTGTTGAACAGAACCCAATGGCGCATTGGTGACGGTGACGGCAACGGTGTCGACCACGACGACGACGACGACGACGACGACGACGACGACGTTAACAATGTCTAGCTGCGCGCCAAACAACAGATGCAGCTGGCGGATAATTTGACACGTTCATCGCCATTGAAGGCGACCACGTTGATTGTGTAGCGTTGATTGAGAAAACGGTGTGGGGCGAGTTGAGAAAAGTAGCAACAAAGGCGTACGACACGCTTCAATGCAGAGAAACGACAAGACCTGACGAATGCTCCGAGAATGCTGTCACCGGGCGTTGGATGAAGGTAGGAGAGGAATGAGAGGAACAGGATGTGATTGACTGTTGGGTGGACCTTAAATTCGAAATTTTACGTTTTTATGTACATACATACATACATACATATTTATTGATGTGCAAATATACTCGTATGTGCATACATATGTACATAAATGCTTTTAGAAAAAAAAAGTAACGAATATAGAGCGCAAAAATAAGCAGGAAAAAATCGTAAAGCTTTTACGCAGAAGAGGTGTAGACACATAGTGCAGAGTGATAAAACTTATTGGTTTATCATTTATTTTTGCTCATGGCATGTGAAACTAGCCAAAAGTGAAAGAAATGTATGTATGTTTGTATGTATGTATGTACATATATGAATCATATGGAGCCTCGATAAAGCTACTTCCAGAAGTTGGGATGAAATTCGACTTATCCAACACCACTCTTCCGTGAATGATATTAGAAGTAATTAAGCAGGAGATGACCACGTCCTGCTAGAGCCTCAAAACAAGTCAATCGATACCTATGGGGAAATTCCCAAACATCTTCCAAACAGCAGTGTTCGCCACAACCTCATGCGCAGATACCATTCCCAAAAGGAAGACTATCAATCAACATATAGTAATTTGCAATGACAGTCAAGCTGCCCTCAAGGCATATAATTAAATGGAATGGAGTCTAAGTGAGGTAGGCTCATCTGAGCTCTCAGACATGCAGATATTGGAGCCCTTTTCCCCCATAGAGGACTTATGGTGAAGCTAAGAAAAGAAGAAATGAGTATAAGAAACAAGTACTATTGTAGTATACTAGTCACGGGATGAGACAAGCAAAAAATCTTGTGGGCGGGTACCATACCAGAAGATTTAGAGACATAACATTACATTTGCATTTGCTTACACTCGAAATTAGCTCTAATGAGACTTCCCGCTTTTGTGAGCTACAACCAAAGACACCGATGCACTTACTGAACCGTGGCTTGAAGAAGATTTATACAACTCGGACTCATTCAGCCGCAGCAAAATCACGTTAAATCAATCAACACTTCGAGCATGCCAGGTTTTATAAGAGCGTTAAAACTGTTTGAAATAATGTGAAAGAATCGGAGACCACTGGTCGCGGTACACATCACAGAACCGACATCACTCTCCATTTTATCTCATAGCTTGTTGCAACCGTACAACGTGGAAAAGAATCACGCTGCGGGTTTGAGGCTTAAGAATTCACCAGTGGTAAGGCATCCCTTTCGTGGGAAGCGACAAACATCCAAAAGTTCTCGCTAATGCCCGGTCTTTATACCGGAACGATCCGCACTTTTAACCGTCCCGCAGTATTCCTCGAACCTGCAAACAACAACCAAAAAAAGAACTCTACACGGGATTAGCTGTTGAAGAATTTCCCAGGCGAAGAATTTATACGGTCAAGAACTACCCACAGCTGCATTTTCTCAAAACAGATTCGAGGAATATATTTGCGATACGGGAAAATAACAACTACACCACTTGTTTGTGTATGAGTAACAAGAAATTGAAAAAAAGGCTTAGTAGTTGCCTGACTATCGCTACTTTGGGACCAAGCTACACAAACATCCCAGAGCGTTTTCCCACCATTCTTTTGTTCTTTATACCTGTCGATCCGAGTGGTTTTCCACGAAAAGCCTCCAGCTTATTGCGAAGCACCATTTCGAAGTGAAGAAGAAAATTAGAGTATTTTTTGAGACCAGCAAGCCAAATAAGTTTATTGATATGTACATACGTATGTATGTGGGGAAACGCACAGTTAAGTAAATTAATTTTATGGACTTTGTGGGGCCAAAGAACCCTAGGCCTCCCATCGGTTGAAAAATTCTTCTACTTTTCTCCACCCATAGCTGAAGAGTGACCCACCGAAGATACTTAATTTTAGTTGGCGATATTCAATATATGACAAACCACAGGCAATTGTAAGCGAGCAGCTCAACTAAAAGCGAAAACAGATACATACCATACATATGTACATACGTACTCGCTTATCCATACAGGTACATAGGCACGTATATATATACTATAGGTAAATAGGCTCTAAGGCTCCGTAGGCAATGCGCAGAGTATGTCACCTTCCAATATTCTAACGCATACCGTCAAGAGTTAGAGAGCGTAAAGTGAAAAGCGTGTGTAAGAAAAAACAGGGGCAGTGTGAAAGGCGCAAGTAAAATCAATCCTCAGACCATGTTCATATGCTCAAGCAAAAAGATATGTCTACATATGTATGTACATGTCTACATTCTGATATCCACACTCCACTAATCAATGTCTACTTCTATCGGTATGTACGTACATATGTTTGCATATAGCACACATATATACATATGTATATGCGTGTGTGTTATGTGGTATACCGTCACCCGCAGCTGCACATTCTACACGCTCGCTAGCGACAGGCAATGCCGCCAACAACGTACACATCATCGTCACCAACCAACCAACCAACCAACGAACCAACCAAGTCAAAAGAAGCAGACTGCCGGCGATACCAAAGGCAATATTAGCACCGTAACTGCCTCACACACACACATACACACACACAAACACACGCCTCCGCCACACATTCACCATCCTCCAACGTGTCGTCTTCCACTACGCGAAGAAAATAACATCAAGGCTAGCGAAGCGTCAAAGCCAATGCAGCATGGTGAATGTGAATGGTCTCCCGTTATTGGCGAAGATGCCTTCAAACAGCAGTAATTGCAGCTGTCGCGTTCCTGCGCCAACAACGCGCACACACACACACACACAATGCGCACAGCGTGCACACACGGAGACAGGCAGTCAAGTCAAGCTAGTCGATCGAAGCGCCGCATGTGTCTGAACGATGTTATTTGGCCCCCCCCCCCCTGTCATCTTTAGTCGAAACCTCCAGCCATAACTTTATGTGCATACCAAATACGGATGTTTCTACGAGGGAACGGATAAAGGTTCGGTGAGTTGGTTGCGTTTTATACCGTTTGCAAATTTCAGCGGATTATTTAAGAACCCCGGCAACCGATGAGTCGACGCTTTGAGTATTCGAGAGAAATGTTTTGCTAACGACAGGACGAATACCTGTTGACGCAAAGGGGATTGGATCGACCTAAGGGGGACAGCTCTTGGGCGGATAAAAGCCGGGTAATCTTCGGATCGTAGAGCCGGCTGTCATGATGACAGATCTAGATATTGTAGTAGACTAAACTCCCACCTATCCACAATTGACCGCGTCATACACTACGTTTGTCTTGTATGCAAAGAGTCCCGGCACGTCACCAACCACCTCTCTGCATATCGCCTTAAGCCAACTCATCTAACTCCCCTTTCCCTCTGGTCCGAACCTGTCGATAAGCTTTATGAGATATATTTGACGGTATCGCGAATTGAGAGAAAATAGCTTTGATGGCTATTTGAATGGATCATGCCGTTCGTCAGTCGAACTTCACTCTCTTGGAAAAGAAGAATGAAAAGGACCGGAGTCCCATTGATGTCTCCGACTATTGCTTTATTGTTGACTCTATAATCGGTGTCTACACCAATCAAGAAAGAGAAAATAGCATTATGTCGACCTCTGACAACAGAGAAGTATGACCAAACCAGCACCGCTTACGCAGCTGGGTAGCAAAAGCAATATCTGTATAAGAAAAATTTATCTGTTACGATGCTATAGTAGGGACCATCCTAGCAGACATCTACTGGAAGCCGAATCACGACCTAGGCACATCATTCATCCAATACCACGAGATCCGTGTAACATCGGTACAATTAGGGTCAAAATACTGTAGTAAACACCTACTTTTCAAGACTTCTCCTTTCAAGACTGGGCATAGGCAACGTATGTCAGGCATGTAATGAGTCCCCTCATGAACATAACCCCTTTTTGCCCCATGTGCGTTTCTTGGACCTGCCGTTAGACGAACTCGACGCCATGAGATACACCTTTCTTACTCCTAGG